TTTTCTCAGCTAGTTTCTGCTTAGTGTTTGGTAGGTATGAGTTATCTCTGCTGGGTAACAAATGTGGAAGTTATGTCTTTCTTCCTATTTATACTTATAAATTTATTGATGTCTGTTTTCTATTCTCAGGGTTGTTATCATTTCAAAGTAGCATTTATTATCTGGACATGCTAGCTCAAGCTTATAATCCTAGTTACTCGAGATGTGGAGGTTAAGAGGCCAATGGTAGATTGGGAGGCTTATGGTTCAAGGCCATACTGGAGGAAAAATGTTTTTGAAACTCCATGTCAACCAATTAAAAACAACCATCAATAACAAAAATAAAACAAAACTGAGTATACTTGGTCATTCCAGTCACCCCAAGAATGAGCTACTTGCACTCACCTGAAGGGAATAGATTTGTTCATGTCTTTCCACGAGGGAAATTCTGGAGTCTTCTCCAACAGAATTGACCTCTTTTGGTTGACATTATCAACCACCTGGCTGTGTTAAATGATCTCTCAGTGAACATGTTCACCGTAGTTACACAAAAGAACAGTGGTGAGCAACATTGAGTCTCTTGGAAGCTCCTTTGGCAGGCAGGTAATGGGTCTAATCCATATCCCCCAAATTGCACAGATGAAAATTGAATCCATAATTTCTTTGCTTTCAAATGAATTAGGTTTAGTCTCATCGTACTGCAATTGCTTTGAGCTGGATAGGGTTGTAGAGGTATCCTTGCCATCTAATTATTTATTTGTTTGTTTGTGTGTGTGTGTATGTGTATGTGTTGGTACTGGGGCTTGAACTTAAGGCCTGGGCATTGTACCTGAGCTCTTTTGCTCAAAGCTAGCTCTCTACCACTTGAGCTACAGTTCCACTTCTAGCTTTTTGTAGTTAATTGGAGATAAGGGTCTCATGAAATTTTTCTGCCTGGGCTGGCTTTGAACTGCAATCCTCAGACTCAGTCTCCTGAGTAGCTAGGATTACAGGCGTGAGCTATCAGCACCCAGCTATTTATTGTTTTGACAGAGGTTTATGGGAAAGTCCACTGAGATATGACTGAGTCTAACTGACTATTGGAATAAAATTGAATAATAGCTGGTACAGAGGACTGAAAGATATTAGAGGGTCACAGAGGATGGAACCCATGTGTAGCATCATCTGTAACTTCATGGCCAGTGGCACCAAGACTTCTTCCACAGGGCAGAAATGGTCTTTCTGCAGGGCAGAGGAGAGAGTTGAAATCTCCATGTATATTGGAAGTGGGTGCTTGAAATGAAGAAGACAGACAGACTCTTCACTCTTGTGGTCTGCAGGCAGGTAGACCTCTTTCTCCCTCATTTTTAGAGATTTTACCAGAGAGTTGCCAAGGCCAGAGACCTCCAGATTTCAGGGAAAGTAGATCTTCTCACCGAAGAGTCTACATAAGTCTCAGGTTGTTCACCCTTAAGGGTGATGGGCTCCAGACACTGGCGAGCAAGAGGCCTTTGGAACCTACCAGGGAGTTTCCCTGGCCAGAAACTCACATTTATCCCAAGTGCAAGAGCTACCGAAGGTCCTGGTATGAAAAGGAAGGCATTCCTCCACATCTCTCTGTGTGGGTCACCATTTTGTCAAGGATAGTTGGAGCTAGGGGCTGGTAAAAGAACTTACCGAGAAGGAAAATAGAAGCAGCAAAGGTGTATTAGGATACCATTAAAGGGAAATGGAAGGCAGCTAGATGGAGGGGTCCAACACAGTGAGGTTCACTGTGACCTTCATACCTACAACTAAGGCATGTTGATTATATTCAGCCCCATTATTGACTCATCTCACTCCCCTTCTCCCCGGTCTCTCCCTCTTTCCTAACGGTTTTTCTTCTGCTTTCACATCACTTTAGAATTTAGATTCTGCAACTGAGGGCAAACATGTGATTCTTGTCTATCTGAGTCTGGCTTATTTCACTTGATACAGTAATCTGCAGTTCCTCCCAGTTACCTGCAAATGACATAATTTAGCTCTTCTTTATAGCTGAATAATACACCACTGTAAATTTATGCCACATTTTATTTATTCATCTATTGATGGGCACTTAGGCTGATTCCATAACTTGGCTCTTGTGGCTCATGCTACAGTGAGCATGGGTGTACAGATGCCTCTGTTGTTTGTGTGCTGACTTTGATTTCCAGATAGATACCCAGCAATACTAGAGCTAGGCGGGATGGTAATTCCAGTTTTAGTCTTCTGAGGAACCTTCATACTGATTTCCATAGTGGCTAAAATAATTTCATTCCCAGCAATACTATGTAAGGGTTTGTTTTTCCTCATGTCCTTGCCAGCATTTGTTTGTGTCTATTTCATTTGACTGAAATATTCTCTGGTCCTAAACATAGTTAACTTAGCCTTCAGCTCCTAATGTTATCTCTTTAGAGATAAAGTATTTCCTATCCTATCACATTATCTTTTTTTTTTTAATAAGAAATTGACCCTGTGATTTTATTGTCTTCATAACTGCAGAAGTTGGAGCTTAGACCTTGGAATTTTGTCTTCATAACAAAAGTTGCAATTTAGGGGCTGGGAAGGTGGCTCAGTGGTAGAGCACTTGCCTTGCATGCATGAGGCCCTGGGTTCGATTCCTCAGCACCACATAAGCAAA